AGAGAGAGAGAGAGAGAGAGAGAGAGAGAGAGAGAGAGAGAGGGAGGGATCTACCGTTGCGGCACCCGACAACGAAGCAGCATTTTCCATACGGAAAATATCCGATAGAAACCAACAACCGCCACGCAAACAACAGCAAGAATACGAACGTTACGATCAAAGCTCACCCGGATGCGCATGCGCTTTCCAGCGGGCTTGTCTGAGCTACGGAGCCCCCCCCCGACGCTGCTGCCACCGCCAGCACCAGTAATCTTCGTCATCTCTCGCCGTGTTCGGAATGCTCCATCGCCAAGCGCCTTGGCACCAGGCACGTCGAAATACTGCCGGTTTCCATTGGTCGAGCCACGTAGATGGGTGAAGGGCAGGGAACAGACCGGCGTTGAGGAAGGGTACATTTAACGATATCGCAGACGTAGGTAATCGCACGGCTCCGGCGCACCGCGAATATTGCTTGTCACAGATGTGTTGTGCCTGTCGTGGTAGTGTGACCACCTAGGTGATTCTTCAAGGCTGCGAGAAAACATGAAAATCGGCATCGTCAACGGCATCGTCAACACTATTGACGACACGAAACGTAGTGGCGGCGGTCATGCCAGGTGGGAGTGTCGGGATGCTGCTCAACACGCAGTCCCCGTGAAAGGCACCAATCATCAAGGTCTACGGTTGCATGGCCTAATTCGGCACGGCAGTAGCTCCTGCTTCATCCGTCGCAAGACCAGGCAGTCACAAATGGTTAGCTCTATGAGTGTATCCCGCCACCCATGGTTTTACCAGCCCAGTGAAAAACTATGGTGATATCTTGCTGTTTACGTAGGTGCCCTGCTTACGGTACTCCTAACTGTCTCTTCTTTGATGACCCACCGGTGGTGCCGCTCACAAAACACCGCAGCGCGGGTGGGCAGCGAAACCATGTTATCCTACGAGAAAGTCTTTGCTGTGAAACAGCAGCAGCATCGTACCGAGGGGCCATCGGAAGCAAATCGGCTGTTCCAGCCCTCCTCTCGTTTCCTCAGGAACAATGCCGGCTGGGACTCCCGCGATACTGCGCTGGCGTTCGCCAGGTTCGGTCTCGGCCGTCTTCTGCCCGGTGGAGGCATTCCACCGTCAGTCCCGCTGCCGGTGACAAAGTTGACAGCAGTGTGTTAGGACTTCGAAGTGACTAGTTTTTTTGGCAGGGCAATGATGTACACGACAAACAGCATCCCTTGAGATCGCGAGGTCGCACCCGCCGATTGGTGGCGCTTTTTCTGGCTGATTCTTAGACGTCCTCTCGTGAAGCCAAGAGCTTTTGCCACAGGAGAGAGTAACGACTTTTCTTTTGGAGAGATTGCCTTCTTTTGGGGGTGAATATTCATGCACAGCGTGCGTGCGGTTGTGCTGGGGGACCGATGCATGTTGAGCTTACTTGCGTGATTGTACAAGGTCGAGGTGTATCCACTGCGGGTGTGGCTGCGCTTTTTCACCACACACACACTTATACAAATAACGTGTAGGGAGGCCTAATATTAAGGCGCAGAGGATGCTCTGTATGTCCCGTTCGAAAACGATTAACTCATTTTTCTTCCACATCACTACTGGCTTTGTCGGAAAAGTCTGCCTGAAGATTCTATGCCAGGTCCTCGTCGGTTAGACTCTCGTCCCCGCTGGACGCTGGCACATGAGAAGACATCCAGCTGCGTTTATTAGCACTCTACATTCAGTAGAGGTCCACGAAAAAAATTAACGATTCGCGCGACGGCACCTGGGGGAAAGGGCGGAAGGAATACCTGCCAGGTTGACTGTAGACTAGAGACGGCTAGATGAGCAGGGGTAACAACAGAGGAGATCGACGTGCCAGGTTCCTGCCACCTCCATCACATTTATTCCCGACATGTTCATACTACATGTTCTGCCATCTCCCTCCTGCTTTCCTCGACCGCGGCTGTTTTTTCAGGATGATTTTCCTACGCGTACGTCCCGTGCCCCCCTTCCGTGCAAGTGGCTTCGTTGTCTCCTCGAGTACTTGGCTGTCCCTTAGGCACACGTGTTCGATTGACTGCCTCTTCACATTTGTGCCAAGGGGTAGTGAAATTTTCGCCCCCGCGGCACCCTCGCGTACGACGGTACCTCCTCGACCACCTTCGCTGCGAGAGTCCAGGTAGCGCCAGAACTCCCCTAAACTATTACTGCTGTTGTGTACCGTACCCGGTACTCTTCGTGATTTCATCTGTAGCTCTGAACTGGAAATCGTCCCCTGGGTACTTCAGCCACTTCTGCGATGTAGACTATTGTAGATCAAAAATATCGTGTTGCACAACTTTTCTGGAGCACTCCCCCACAACCTTTCTGGAGCACTCCCCTCTCCCCCTTGAACGAGGGCCCCAAGCATTGCTCTTTTCGGGACGGAAGGCGTGGGGCGGATCGCCCATTGCTATGTGTAGAATACAGTATAGAAGCAGCAGGCTACAAAGTGGACTTGTCTACGTGTTGTACATTGGTCTAGACTAGACTATGGACTATTGTAGACGCTGTATCCCCGGAATGTGCATGATGAAAACATTTAGTTGTGACATCAGGGCCATTAACCACCCCAGTTTCTGAGAAAAAGGCAAGGCAGAGTAAGATATAGACTGATATTCACGGTATGGAGTCGGGTCTCATATGATGAATCCTCGACCGAGAGCAGACATCTACCGGGCTCCTAACTTACATCGCCACTCAAGCAAAACTCAAGCAAACCCGTGTCATGTGCAGGTAGGCCTACCGTACAGTAGTACAGTTGGTCTACAGCGTAGTCTACGAGCATACCTTCCCCGCGATGAGCAAGGTCCCCCGGTGGCCGAACCCGGCCCTCTGGCCGGTAATGATGAATGTGCCACGTATTACAACATTTGAGTCAGTCGTCCGCACAATATACTGCCGCGATGACATACAAAGATCGTGCACCCGGAGCAAAGTGTGCACATAACAGACAACCGGAGTGCCCGAGTGCCGTTTCGTCCGTGATTGGCCCGCTTTTTATTCACGGGCCCCCCTCTTCGCTCTTCTCCTAGTCCCTCGTGCTGTCGTTTGGTGTGCTGTGCTTGCTCTCTTGGCATTCCCTTGCCCTCCTACAGCTATTGGGCGCCTTGTTTTGGGCAGTGGCCGGCATCATACCGTGGCATCTACGAGGAGAAGGCGAGTTGTTCGCGGTCGGCAGTCGCTGCTACACATAACAACGTTGGTGTTGTAGTAGACTCGTTGCAGGCGGGAACGCCGCAGCAGCAGCGCGGGTGCGGCAACGGCAAGGGAAATGCAGGGCGCGCCAGCCTTTAAGAGGTGAGCGAGCGTGCAATAGACCTGCCCAAGTCAGAGGTGACAGCGGTGGCGTGCTGCCTTGCTCTGTGCACGATCTATTTGCCGACGCGGACAAATATCCCCGAGAGGGGGTTTCTCGGAAAACCGCAATACGCGTTATAGAAACCTCTTATCATCTGTGTGTGTTTTTCGATTTGCCTCTCCACAACCTCAAGTAGCGGCAACGGCAACGGCAACGCGCCTTCCCTTCCGAGCTGTAGCACACTGGATATTTTCATGCCTCTCATGTGATGGTTGATACGTAAAGACCACGCGGCGATACACAGCGACTCAGAAATTGAGTTGGCGAGAGCCCAGACCATTGCACCTACCGGCAGCGTTTTTTTTTTTTTTGCTCCCATCATTGGACTCTGTCGTCTGCCCCTCTGGCCCCTATCCTCCCCTTCTACTAGCTAGACGACCCAACCGAGGTCACATAGGAGGGGGGGGCTGGACCCCCTCTTACGGTTCCTGCCTGAGGTATTTTATCGCGAAAAGGGTACAGCAATACCTTCCCTCGCGACTTTCGAAGTCGATTATGGTTTACTAACAACGAGCTGTGCAGTGCGTCGCTTTCATCCTAGACCAGGATTTATTTAGTGTGAAAAAAACTCACTCTGCCGGGACTCGAACCGATGACCTGGCCCTTAGCAGGCTGCGAGGTTACCCACTAGACCACCGGGGCGACCGCATCAGGTTATTGCAAGCCGAAGAAAAATCCGGAAGCCAGGAAAAGCTCAGCGGCAAGAACGCACAGCAGTAGACAATAGGTACAGAAACATCCGTGCCTGTCGATTCTATTGTGAATAACTCAACAGGAAAATCGGTGATGCACGTCTCGCCTTCTCTCCGCGCGTGACCACCCAGCAAGGGTAGCAAACATGTCGAACTAGCGGTCACCTCGCGAATTATCGAAACCACGACCTCATCAAAAGTAGGGATTGCAAACCCTACAAGGTGGTTTGGTTAGCTCGGAGTACTCGGCGTGTGATCCAGGTCGAGAATTTTCCGGGCAACTGCTACATATGGCGTTCCGTCCGCAGCTAAACAACCGTGCGGTTCATTTGCTTCGCCGTCACAGTGACCCGGTCAGTTATTATGTCAATCAATTTTCTGGGGGGTTTTCCCTCGGGCTTTCTCAGGGTTGAAGTCCTTGTCAAACTATGTTCCGGTGTCAAGCCACCTTCTCCTCCTTTGCCCGCCTTTGCGCCTTAACCGTCAATTCAGGCAGCAGCTCCACAAGCGTCTGCCCGCCGCACCATATCGGTCCATCAGCAGCTCTACCAACAACAACGCCATCGGCGTCGATGGCGACGATTTCACAGACAGTAGCAACAGCAGCAGTAGTCACCACGACAGCAGCGGTAGCGGGAATCGAGTCCACCATGACCACCAGCACCTTCTGCCGCACTCGTGGAGCATCAACAGTGCTTGCTCAAGGTGTAGCGACAGCGGCGGCAGTGGCATCCGCAGCAGCAGCGGTAGGCGCAGGGGGCTAGCGACCATGGTCTTGGGTATATCTGCTTCGGGTGCTTTAGCCCTTTTGGCCGTCCTCCTTTTCTCTGGCGACCGCCTTCATGGATTCCCCGCATGGGGCGGCGTTATGTCCCGCTCGAACAACGTTGACGAGAACAATGTTGATCGTGGGGACGTGTCCGACAGAGAAACAAAGCACCGGGGACAGCAGGTGGAAGATCTACTCCGTGGTAATGAAGCAGCGGGTCCTATAGTCGGAGAAGGACGGAGGCAACGATGGGGAGGAGGCGTTAGCGTGGGGGCTTCGGGAGGTACGGGATCGGGCGGCACGGAGAGAGGGACCCGAGGAAACCGCCGAGGGGGACCCGCAACGGCATCCAATGCCGTCTTCGATCGGGGAGGGAAGGGACAGCAGCCTCTCTCGGAGACAATTCACGGCGAAGCGGACCAAAACGAGCGCAGGGACCGGGCGAGTTCGGGCCAGAATGAGCAGGGGAGTGGGTCGGGGGGCGGGGGTCAGGAGGGGCGAGGGGGCGTGCCGGTGGCGAATCACGATGAACCCATTGGTGTTTTCCAGCCTGAAAAAACAAGTGGAGAATACCCAGTCGAGGTCGAAAAGGAACAAATCATGGACAAGGAGGGCAGCAGCACGAGGGACGAGGAAGTTCCAGTGGAGGGGGTTTCCGATGCAGGCGGCGTTAGCCCCGCAGGGGAAACCAAACACGCAGACAGCAGCAACGGAGCGGTGACCGGAGCGGTGGCTAGGGGACGGGGGAAGAAAGAGGTGTCCAACGCGATGAAGATGTGTTGAAACATATTGAGGAGGGAACACAGCCTCCCGAACGCGTGAGCCGCGTTTGTTGTTTTCTTGTTTTGAAATTTCGTTTTGGTTTCGAGTCGGGTAGTGCCCGCTCTATCACCAGCTGAAAAATATGTTCGGCAGAAACTGTCACTACGGATTTCGTCGCTGTCTCTTCCGGTGGTGGAACATTCTGTCGGCAGGTGTGCAGTGCGTACCTCAATGACTACGGGATTGTTCCGGAAGATTCTTGGGGCACGGCGCCGAAAGGGATTCAGAAATCCTGGATCAAGATGGTGAGTGTGCTCGAGGTTGTTCAACGATTATGTTGACAGCACCTTCGTCACCGACATCGGTCCAAGGCGGGATGACTCAGGTCGCCAGCGTCCGATGTTGTATTTTTGTGCGGAAGGCGTCACGGCGCGCACAGATTGTCTGGAGAAGTTATGACCAGGGCTGGATGATTGTACAGTGGTTGGATCGCTTGGGACGCTGAGCACACATACTACAGCAAGGGAGGCAGTTTTTGGATGCTTGCAGTTAGACGACACGCCGACGAGTTTGACCCCGCCCCCGCCCCCCCTCGGTGTTTGCCATCGGGGTTGGGTTTTCGTCGCTTGGCAACGACGTTGTAAAACAAGCCGCCCCCCCCGGTGTTTGCCATCGGGATTGGGTTTTCGTCGCTTGGCAACGACGTTGTAAAACAAGCCAATTCACTTCGTGAACTCGGCAACCAGGTTACCG